GTGAGCTCTAGATTGCACGGTTTCATGTTATGTGGGTGTCCTGGATGAGCTCTGGGTTTGCCTCCTATGCAGAAAGTGAGAAAATCCCTTTCCTTATCAGAAGGAATTTTGGGTTATACACCACTGAAAAAAAAAGCAAGGACATCAAGTCAAATTTATCTGATAAATAGCAATGATTTAAAGGCTGAGCATGCTTATGTTTTATGCTTCTCAGAGTGCACAAATACAAGTTAATTAAAGGCTACTCCAGGCTGTATATCAAAACCTGTTTACCAAAGTATTTCCAAGAACTTGTCTGAGGAAGGAGTGCAGCTGAATTCAATTTGGGAGTAAATAACAAGTGTGTGTTTCAATCCTGGTATGGTCTTAGAAGTGACTTATACATTTCATGTGAGGCCAGCTCATGACCTTATCATCTGCCCCAAGGAACACATGCCACAAAGAGTAAACTGGAATCTCTCCTCCTTGCTCTGGGGTAGTGGTAATTTATGCCTCCCTTTGTTGAGAAGTAGGGTTTTTTAATAGCGTGCCTACTTTGCTGGAGCACAAAGGGAAGAAAGCACCTCCTTCATGTCACCTCCACTCCCCTCTTCCTCCTCTCTGCGTGGCTTATGGCACATAGGAGTTGCTACTGCTGTCTCCTCTGTGCTGCTTGAGTCAGTGACTCAATGCAGTCTCTGCGCAGAATAGTCCCTGAGTGAGGCTTGAGGCCAAGTTAGCTGCTTATCCATCTCCTTTGCCTGCCACAAGGCTTTGGAAGCCAGCTTGGGGCAGCCCTACTGATATTCCTAAAGAGATTACGTGGGGAGCTTTGTGCTTGAGTCCCCCTTAGCATTTAACTGTCCAACCTCCAAATACCTCATTAGCCTCTGCAGTCATACTGTTAGGCAAATGAGGTGATCAGGCATCCTAGTAAAAGAGGTGTAAGAACTGTCTACTGCAAAGGCATTGGAGTTTGTAGGATTCTAATCAAGTTCAACAGGACCATGTGGATATAGCCAGTTTGACCACGACAATCTAGAATATCATAATGCTTAGCTACATCTTAATTTAGGCATTATGTGTGTGCTTTAAGTTAGCCAAGACTGGAGTACCCCTAGTTTCACATAGTTAAGACATCTTATGGTGGTTTTCTTTTGTTGCATATAACAGTGAAATTGAAGTTAGAGTTCAATATTTTAAATTAATTCCTTCTCCTATAGAAATGTTCACAAGGGGCAGTGTGTTTTTCAATACTCTCCCTTCCTTCTAGTTTACATGTTGTTTCGTAGCTATGATTTGGTCCAAAACAGGAAGAACAAAATTGTGGTCCGATAAAGCCAATATAAAGCCCTCCTAACATAAGCCAAAGTATGAAATATGTCTGTGTGTGTCAAAGACTGCACATGGCATGCAGTGAAATATTGGAGATGGGAAGGTCAGAGATATTAATGGTATACTAAACACTAAAACAAAAGGACAAAATAGGGAACTGTGCTTGTCTCCCACATCCCTCCTCAACCCACAGGATAATTTTATTGGAAGCAATTAATTGTGCTGATAGAGGTTTCACATTCCAGAAGAGAATGTAGTTTGGCAAAATATTCTAGCTTTCAATGCAGACCAATGAATACACGGTAACCTTTAAAATCCCCATAGAATAAACTGTGAGAAACAAAACAGGCACATGGAGAGACCATCTGCAGATTCTCTGAATGTGCAGAGCTGTAGAATACCATCCAGCCTGATATCAAATAGTTTTTAAGCATGGTAAAATGGTACATATGCATCTGTCATATTAATAAAGAGCAAAGATTAGGTTTTCATTCCTGTTTATGATCTTCCATAGCAGCTACCACCCAGTATTTCTGCACTGAACAGACCTGCAAGCAGTGGCACATGGTAGACTTCAAACAAAACCATGCATCTTTCTGGCTCTATAGAGCCCAGCCAGGGTTGCAGGTTTTCATCTTTGCCTACTGGAAAAAAATTACTAGGAAAGTAGAAATATTCCCAAGGCTAGCACATACTAGTCTAAAGCCATGTAGCATTTCCTTTGCCACTGATGTCCCCTTGGCCATGAATGTTTTCTCTCCAATACATAGCTAAGCCTTGCTTCTGTAAACTGCTGGCCAAAGGGATTGCAGTTATCTAAGTGAGTCATGGAAAGAGAGGTCACTAAGGTAACTGTGGCCTGGGAAACTGATAAATCATGCCCAGAGTTTCATTTGAAAACAGAAGTGTGTTGAAAGTCAGCAATGGGAGATGTATTTTCATGTCCTGCACAGGAAGCAGGCTACCATGCTCTGCAAATACCGAAACACAGGCACACTTTTGTCCTTCAATATAAAATTCAGTGCAGAGCATTAGATCAACCTAACACTTTATTTTTAAGCCAGCACATACCATCCAGATTGAGCTGTGTGCACAGAAGGTGTCAGAGAACCACTACACTGACAATCCTGAACAGATGCCTCTGTAAGGTGATGAACTACTGGCTTAGCTTTTTCTTCCAAGTATTTTCCTCTTGCTCTCAGAACTGCTCTAGTTCTGTTTGGATTTAGGATAATACTTACTCAAGTTCTATCTGCATCTTGAGATGATAAAGTGATGGTTATATAGGAGGGAAACAAGACACAGAGCTGAATATTCTTCTGCAAAGATTCTGAAAAGGACTGATGACTGGTTAAGCATCATTCCCAACAAGGTCTGCATGGGTAATAAGCTGTAGTGAAAAAAAAGGTGGCTGTCTGACTGAAATCATACAATCCATGTGTGCCATGCAACCAGCTCTCTGGTGGCTGAGTAGTGTGGTACAGGAGTTCTGATACTGAAAACAGTGTGAGCACTGAATTATCACTTCTTGCAGCTCCAAGGAGGCTGGGGCAGGACTGGTATGGGGAAGAGGGGTGCTGCTGTTCAGGCTCCAGGAGATGAAGATTCAGTTCTCATCTTTGCTACAATCTCTCTTTCTCATCATAGACAAACCATATAACCCCTCTGTCATTGAGTTCATTATATCTACACTATAAAATCATGCTTATTAGTCCCTTTTATTCTGCCAGAAATGAGGTGAGTAAAATGTGACAACTAAGCAGGGCCAATAAGCCATTCCAGGGGTTAAGGGTATATGGTCTCTGACACATGTTTAGTAAGAGATGTACTGTATAATGATGACTCCTAGTGGAATGGTGTTTTAAGTGTTGCCAAAATGAATAAAGACAACCTAGATTCTGGCAGTCCCTTTTTCTTCCACCTGGGCATTCTACTGAATGCAGTGGCAAACTTATTGTCCATCTCCCTTTCTCCCTCACAGTATTTTCCCTCATACTTAACAAGTTCTATTTATATATCTTCTAATGTGTTTCAGTTGTGGACGGAGATCTATTTTTCATCACAACTGAACTAAAAGGAATTAAAAACCTTTTTTTAAAGGGAAATCAGTGGGCAACGAAACTTGCATTCTTCCAAATAGTGCACTGATATTTAATTGTCAGATTAGACTATCCCAATTTCCCTCTCTATGAGGAAAACCACAGCAGTCAGAGGAGAGGTTTCTCTGTCCAAGAACTAAAGGCATGTTTGTGAGAAACTGTGGCTATTTCTGTCTGTTCAGCAATTTTCCTAGGAATAATAATATGAGTATGGAGGGATAACTGATATAATCTGCCACAGTAAGGCTTTGATCAAAGTCCACAACAGTTTTCTCCAGCATTTGGATGTTTTTATTGCTGAGAAAGTGGCTTTGTCAGCTAGCCTTTCCTAAAGAGAAAGTGATAATGTCCTTTAGCAGTTTTAACGAGCAAAATGGGACAAGATTTTTATCAGTCCATGTCCAGTGTAACCAATGTTTGTAGGATCTCACACTTTCTGGCTTTCTCTTTTCATCTTCTCTCATTTATCCCATCCTTTGATTTCTCATTCAGCCTTTGGCCACTAGTTCATCCAGATCAACATCATCATTATTTTGTAGGTTTTGCTAGATTATTTCTGAGAGGATTATTTCCAAGGAAGATATTTGTTCCCTTTAAAGTCTTTTGAAGTGCTTAACTCCCACAATTATTTTCTAAATCAGTAATTTTTTTTAAAAGTCATCATTTTTCTGTCTTAGAAGAACATTAATTTTGATAACTAATCATTAAACTTAACTTTGAAAAAGTTGTATAACTGCAAGGTTTTTGTGTTTTATTGGGTGTTTTCATCTGCTCATCTGCACTCCAGGTTCTGGTAATATTTGATCTCGTAATGCAAATAAGGACTGCAGGAGCAAGCCTCTAACTGAGGAAAACCAGAAGTTCTTATCTTCCACTTCCTCAACAATTTCCAAAACACATATGAGATTAAAAAATTCTCAATATTGAAATGATGTACTCTAAATTGAATTCCTTCTTACCAAAAAGTGCAGTAGGCTTCCGAAAACTGCAGATAGGTGAAGTCGTTCACTAAATTGTTAGCAGACAAAGTTGTCACCCTTCAAGGTCTCGTTTTCATGCCAACAAACTGGTTTTAGTATGTCTGCTACCCAGGTATGCTTGGATGAGTGGCACATTATGAGGCTGTGAAAGGTTATCAATAGCCCTGAAGTGTGGAAGCAGATGAAGGGAACTGAAAAAAGAGCATCACAGTGATGGTACTGTTACAGGGATATTCCTCTAAGGAAGATCACCAAGGAGTGGTTTGTACTGTTGTGGGAGATTGCAGGCATAGCTGTGACTGGTTTCAGTCTCCACTTTCTGTAATGATGCCTGTGAAGGGCGTTAGGCTTCAGCATGGCTTAGCCAGATGCCCACGGAACTGAACAACCCGTGTGGAAGCCAATGTGGGATTGGCATCCCTGTTGAGTAAGTCATGTACAGCTGTCTGCGGTCCGGTTGCTCCTTCTTTCTGCAGTACAAACCTCTGAAGCAGAGCAAAGGAATGGAAAGAAAAGGGCTGTTAGCTAGGGCCAGTTATAGCCTAACGGTAATTCCGTCTCTCATCCTCACAATTTCATCCAAGGTGCTTTGCTTATGTTTCTGCAGATAAGCCAGACCCACCTGCTGGCACACCTTGTGCATCAGACATACGGAGTTCCTCCCTCACTCTCTCTTGGTATGGCTCCTCCTATGATGGTGGAAGTGCAGTGCAGTCCTACACCGTGGAGATCTGGAACTCAGTGGACAACAAATGGACAGACCTCACCACCTGCCGCAGCACCTCTTTCAACGTGCAGGACCTGCAGGCTGACCGGGAGTACAAATTCCGTGTGCGGGCTGCCAATGTGTACGGCATCAGCGAGCCCAGCCAAGAATCTGAGCTGGTAAAGGTTGGAGAGAAACAAGAAGGTTAGTTCTTAGGAGAAAAAATATCTAAATTCAATGAAACTCTATCTTAACAGTTCCTTAGTGAGGCCAGGCAGCTGCACACACTTTGCATGTGTCGCTGTGCGGTCAATGCTTGTGCTCGCTCTGTGTGTGCTGAAGGCCCTTCCCAGACTCCATGTGGGTGTCTGAGAACATAAGATTTGTGTGTTTGCGGTGTGGAAACTTGGCTTCAGGGATCCCAAATCCCTGCCTGGTGAAAGCAACCAATAATTCTCCTTCTGGCTTGCCGTGTGAGTGCTGGCTGACAGACTTCTGCAGTGCAGTGCACAGGTAATGGGAGACAAAACTTTTCACATGTTACACATTCAGTCCATGCCCGGTTGGAAAATGATGTTTGGTGGATCACCTGAAATACACTGATGGATTCATTATAGTTTATACTGGACACGCCATGGAAAAACAAGCCATAAACACTATCCCAAATTAGCTTTTGGAAAAAGTAAGCGTGCTTGCTGCTAGCCAAGCACAGAATATGAAGCAGAAACTGAACTGGCATCTCATACCTAGTTGTAGTTCCCATGCTTTCAATCCTAGCATGATAAAGCACCTCAGTCCTGTTGCCTCTAGTACACCTATCTTGTGAATTCAAGGCTATCTGAGTTAGCATGTTGGTTTTGCCACTTTATGGATGCTAAAAATATTTTTAAGATTTTTGATTACAGTTGTATGTACTTTGAAAAATATTTTTCAGTATCTTTTACTTCTTAATTTTTGCTTAAGATCTTCTCAAAGGACTAATAGGCAGAGTTGGATCATTGCAGAAATTATTCAGAAACTGGTACTAAAATATGAAACACACAAATATCAGCATTATTTTCAAAACCAGAGACTGATTTTGTGCATTTTTGTGCACACCCACATCTACCTACTGTAGACAACTTTGATAGTAATCTCAGCAAAAATCCCGGACCAGGGATAATGTATTTTGCCATTTTTCCTGCCTTTGAGGAGTGGACTGTATGTTGTATCTCTCCCTCCTTACTTATATATGTAGGGCTTTGGAGATTTAAGTGTTCTACCTTGCCCTTGTGAAGTTATCTTTCAGTGCCAAAGCAAGACAAAATGATAGCAAAGTGATGCAGCATCACAAAACTGTGTAAGCCTCTCAACAGACATTTCTAAACAAAAGTAAATCATATTTCTCCTCAAGAGAGAAATTGGATGCATTCTGAGAATTGACTTCCTGCTATTTGTAAGATTTAAAACCCACTCTAAATGAAAATGCACCTTCTCTTCAAAGGGAGGAAAAATAACATGAAGAGTAGCAATAAAATTGAATAGATGGTACGGGTTTGAATGCCCTCTTTCTTTAGTTGCTGGACAAACACCTTCTAGAGTTGGGGACCTGACTCTTCTCTATATTTGTTTTTCCTAGAGCAAGCACTATCTGTACCGGACCAAAGCAAACAAGATATTTTTATTTTTAAGACTGAGAGTTTTCTTATATAGATTTAGTAAAAAAATGTTAGAAAGTGTATGAATCATTGTGATACATACAGAAAAAAAGCAACAAAAAGTTGTTTTGAGTGAAAAGATAATGTGTTCTGTTTGCAGGAGGGTGGGTTGTCATTGTGCTCCCAATCCCATGGCTTCTTGATTTCAATTCTTGATACTGCAGCTAGTGTGGAAAAAGAGCAAGTCATCTAAAGAGTGATTTTTCAAGTGTGTGAATATAACTGGTGCTTTAATTAAAGGCAGTGGAAAATGCATGTGTTCAGCACCTGCCAAAGTCAGGACTTTGAGCTGCCATCTATGAAAACACTTAGCTGAGTAACCAGGGATTTTCTGTGGCTGCCAGGAAGTTTGATTACTGATTTTCATACTGAGGTGGCCAGAGCATATTAGCAATCTCAATATAATCATAGCGAAGAAAGGCATGGCTAAATTTTCACTGTGCATTTAAAGAAAACAGCTACTAAGATAAGGCTGTAAGTCACAACAGATTAAAGTGAACATTGCCAGGTTTGAGGAAAATTTGGTACTGTTGACTCACTTCTGAGAAAGGTTTTAGCACAGCTACTCAGCACTTACCAAGCTCAGATATGTTCCACTTATATAATTTAGGCTTCCACTGGTGGACCAAAATGTTTCTAGTTCATGGCTTCAATACCATGTCACTGCAGAACAGGGAACTCACTTCTTGCCTAATCAGTATTTGGCAAACATTAACTACTGGCAGCGTGGCTGGGATCAGCTCCCTTATGCAGCCCTTAAAAGGGGAGGAAAATGCGATGTGCTCTATGCAAGAGTGGTTTGTAGCTGAGGAAGATCTGAGGACAGCAACCCCGGGTGGGGTAGGCTCGCTTCCCTCTCTGCTCCTCTGGTAGATCTCTGCAAACCAGCTCATCTGTGCTGGAACATACAAGGGTCACAACCCCAGAGGAAAGAGAGAAAGGCTTTAGCAACAGACTATATCTGCTTGATTGGCTTTGCTACCAGCACACAGATGCAGCATTATGTGTTGGATGTAAAAGGGTGATGAACCACAGCAGCTCTCTGCTCACCCTGCATCCTTTATTTCTGTTGCTTTCTTCTCATCTGCTGTATAACTCTGTACTCTCAAGCACCTCACAGCACCCAGAGCACTGAATTAATGTTTCATAACATAAATCTGTTGACACAGCAGGGATAAATCCCTTGGTTAGGCTTGCACTCCCCGATGGCAAAGTGCAGCTTCAGCAGCTACAGGGAGAATTGAACAGGTCACTGTGCAACTGCCTTTGCAGTTTCTCAAATTACTGGTCATAGCCACAGGTCTTAGGAGCAAGCCCAAGCCATCTCAGTATAATATAGAACAACATCCCAGCCATACCCCATTTCCCTGCATATCTGCAGGCAATATAGGGAGCAATTCACAAAACAGTGCTACTGGCAGTTCATGTATATGAAAATTAAAAATGAAAATCAAGACACTCAGGTCAACTTTTACTCTGACTTAGGTCACTGGGCTTGCCAACATCTTGCCTGTCTTTGGCTGCAGAACTGAGGCTCCATTTGAACCTCAATGATTACAAAATTCAGCCATGCTCAGAGAAACGCATGCTGTCCAAATTTTATTGATATCTTGAGTCTGAAAAATTTGTCTAGATGCTTTGCAAGAAATCTTTTCATGTACAAACTTGCTTAACATTTGGCTTTGCAATCCAAAAAAGGCATATCAAAGCTAGAAAAAGATTTGTCATTGAACCAGAAGTGATATTGATTTTAATATTTTTAATTTATTTTCTATTTCCCTAGGACATTCCTAGAGGTAATTCTTAGGTCACTTTGAACTGATGGACTATGCTGATGTTTCTACTAGGCAGGTGTGATAGACAAGTACTGCAAACCACATGAACTTGATGTATTCAGAAATGGTGACCAAACTGTGATTATGTAGTTAATACTCATGTAGAAGTGGTGAAGAGATTTTAACTATAAAGCTAATGCACAAACTCCCTGACTGCTTTTTGCTGCTTTGCCATAGGATCTATCAGTTGTCCCTGTCACTGTGAATAATTTGACTGTCTTATGTAACTACCATATCCTATATAAAATGTTATTCGTGTCTTTTATTTTCATCACAGAACCTAAAGAGGATGAAGCGGAGCTATCTGACGATGGTAAGAAGTGCATATTTTAAACAGGACAAATGCAAGTCTTTTCATTCACGTTTTCTGGAGGTTTTAATCATGGTCCTTGATACCTGTTTGTAGAGGGGAAAGAAACAGAGATGGAATATCGGACGGTTACAATCAACACTGAACAGAAGGTGTCAGATGTCTATAACATTGAAGAGAGGCTGGGATCGTAAGTACTGTATTGTGCTTTTGAAGACACAGAGTTTTCAAGGCTACCAGTCAATTATAAAGATCATATGCATTCGTTCTTTGACGGTGTCTTGCACTTTCAACATTCCAGCTGGGCCCCTGCTAAATAGATGTTGGCTTCCACTCCATAAAGATCATTTACTCTTATTAACTGATAATTTTAAATAGGCACTTACATGTATTTGTGGCAAGGAAAACAGAGCCCACAAATGAATAAAGCTAGAGGATTCATTTGTTTGTCAGTGTTCTAAAAGCTATCTGAAAAAAAAGATACACGTTGTGTACTTGCATTTCCATTATATCCATTAGCAGTAATAAGATTATCCTGCCCACAGGCTGGAATCTCTGTTGACAGGGGTCATAATCCCAAAGAGCATTAATAGTATTGCTAAGAGAAGGTCAGTGATTAGCCTGGCTGTGTTTCTCAGGGCTCCAACTCGTGGCTGTGTGAACTGCATGCCATGATAATCTTTCAGTGATTTGTGCTGAAGGCCAGGGGATCCTGTGTGCTGTCATTAATAAATCTTGATAAGTGTAACGTAGAGGTAGAATTGTACATATACAGCAATGTGAAATAACAGTGCTGAGCATTTCAGATTCTAATTTCACCTGTATCCTACGCCTGACATGTCTCATCTGCTGCCCCTTCAGAGGTCTACAACCTATAGAAAACTGTGCAGAAAGACTTCAGTCACATGCGTTAAAGCCTGGTAGGAGTCCAGTTTTTGAACACTTACATAAAACTTGCTCATTGGAATGGCAGGGTATCTCTAAATGTGGTATTCATTCAGGAGTTCTTGCAGATTACTCTGCACAAAATCATTACAGAACAATAATTAAGACACTTTTATTTCAGAATGGACTGGTTGTGCTGTAATATTTAGTAAAATGTTGCTATTCGTGGTGGCCCATACATTGCAAAAACATTTTATGGAAATAGTTATATATTTTCAGGGGAAAATTTGGACAAGTCTTTAGGCTTGTTGAAAAGAAGACTGGAAAAGTTTGGGCAGGAAAATTTTTCAAAGCCTATTCTGCTAAGGAAAAAGAGAACATAAGGGATGAAATCAGCATCATGAACTGTCTACATCATCCAAAACTCGTCCAATGTGTAGATGCCTTTGAAGAAAAAGCCAACATCGTTATGGTCTTGGAAATGTAAGTATAAAGCAGATCACACTGGCAAAGGTAATAATGTTGAAAATAATTGTGTATACAAAAGTAGCAACTTACCCAGATGTAGAACTGTCAAAAACTTCAGGATTTGCAGGGCCTGGATGGCTTTCTCATCTTGCGAGTTTTTCCAAGTATTTATCCAACTTGTTTAAACTGTGTAAGTGAATCTGTGTTGTATCTTTTAAAATCTTGTTTGCTTGTTTTTTAAAGTACATGTGGTACGTGTTTGCAGCTCACTCTTTTATTGCCAGCTTGGGAGAGCAGAGAAAGAAAGTAAGCTGCATTTTGGACTTTCATTTAGAACTAAAAATGTGTTTAAGGAGGAGAATTCTTTTTTTCCTTTAGGCAGTTCTAAACATGTATTGAAGAATACATCAGATGTTTCTTGCAGAGAATTGAATGTTGGTGCACAACAGACAGTAGGAGAGAAAGATGTGGATCAGAATGCAAAAATCTAAGCCACATTCTAATAAAATAGTTGAATTTCCATAAAAAAATTTATCATGACAAATTTATAGTGCTCAAGAGATATTAGGAACACTTCAGTTTTCATAATATCCTGTTTTTATATTTTTAAGAGACCTTAAAGGGTTAGCCCAATGTGGTTTTCCTGCAACACAGAAATACTTTGATTGCAAAACATTTATTTATAACAAGTTCTGTATAAAAAAATCTCCACAGGTAAAGGCAGTGAATGTTCTAAATCTAGATCAGTAGATGCAGAAAGATTACGCTGTTTTCCCTAAAAACTAATTAAACATTAATTGATCTGCCCCCAAGGTCAATAAATAAATTCTCCATGATGGCCCAGGTGTAGCTGTTGCAGAAGGGAATCTCTCCTTTACTTGAAAGTAACTTCATCCAAAACTATATAATTAAGTAACAAAGAATTTGAAGACAGGCTATGCCACTGTCTTGTTCTTGCTGAGTAAGACGGCAAAACTCGTTTTTACCTCCCAGAAATTGTTCACCATGGGCTCCTCATGCCACACTACTGTGGGGAGCAGCAGAAAAGCACCACAGAAGCAGTGCTGTAAAGCATCTCACAGGGCTGTGACTTGGGTACCTTTGTATTTAAAGATAGTAGATATTTACTTCCAGGGGAAGAAAAAAAAGGAAAAAAAAAAGAAAAAAAAAAAGAAGATTCAATACATGTTCTTGCAACAAAATTTATTATAAGAAAAGAATCTGCACAGTTCAAAATGGAAAGTAATGGTCAGGCTTCACAAACAATAATGACCAACATGACCACTGTTTGCATCATCCATAATGCACCTTCTTGGTTTGAATCCCATACTTTTGGCAGCAGCAGCTGAAAGGAAGATTAAATCCTGATCTGTGCTGATGTTTTTCCCAAAAAGTTACATCAGTTACTGTTCTGCTGCCACACCTACTTCATGTGCTGTCTGATGCAAGAAGGAGAAGCAGTTTTTTTGCTAGCTGCAAGTTCTGAGCAAGATAGAAATTGTTTGAGGCAAAGGAGACTATATGTCTATTTTGCTTGCTTGGCACTTGCTTAGATTATGTGCAAACTACTACTGCACTGGCATATTTCAAAAATTGGATTTTACAACCCTGGAACTTATGTGCAAGAAGGTGTTTTTATTTTTAGACTGAGCAGTTGAGCAAGCTGATGATGGTAAGGGAAGGGAACCCTACTTAGCTTGGAACTGGGAGCTGGCAAACCTAATGGAAAACAGGGAGATGTATAAAGAGTCTGGAATAGCATATGGCTTTACACTCCATTAGCTCCCCCCTGACAGCAAGCGGGTTTTACTTTTCAAAAATACGGAAAAGTGCAATCAAATTTAAAGTAGCTTTGTTAACCAGTATAATTAGGGTGTGATTTTAGTTTGGGGTGGCCACCTTTTCTGGCTTTTGAGACACCCCACTGAAAGTTCCAAGTGTCAAGCAGCAGGCAGCAGCAGTGTGTCCCAGCCCTGCAGCAGAACTGTGGTAATGCACGGATTTCAAATAAATCCAGCTTACCTGCTATTAGTCTCATTTTAAACCAGATTTTAGTAGTGAATGGAATTTAGCAGATCCCCCTCTACTTGAATTGGAGCTATTGGTAAGAAGCAGCTTTGGAATTTTCTTCCTGGTATTTATTATAAATTTTTCATTTTAATTTTATTCCCATATCTTTCTTAGAACCTTTTAGACTTCACCTTCTCTCCTTTTAATATTTTTCATTACACTATATTACATGCTTTGATTTCATATTTAAATTAAAATCAGATTTTTTTATTATTAATTTTAAATCAAACACTATAGTAAGATGTTCTTACCTGAAAACCTTTCCATCTATCATTTGCTGGAAGTCAGGGGCAATTCTCAGGCATTTCCTTTTCAAATATAGGAAGGTACTGGTACCACAATAAGCATCTGAGTGGAAAAACTAAATCTGAAAAATAGTATCACATTGTAAATGTCATTCAGCACTGGGGATAAGTGCCTTAAAGTTTTTATATACTTCAGATAGTCAGTTAATTTTGACATAGATCAGAAAAAGATTAAGATTATTGGAGAAAAATCTCAGCACTAAACTCCATTCATTTGGTGTGATTTAAGTCAGAACAAGTCACTAAGGTTTGGAGATAGATTTATTAAAATGCAGCTGAGAATTTGTCTGGACAACAGATTCTTCTCACTGTTCCTCCACGACCTAAAGTTTATAATAAAACAATTTTAAAATGTGTATTCTGTGGTTCTGTAGACATGAATATTTTCCTCTATGGCCTCTTCTAGAGAAGACAAAAGAGGATTCTGAACTAGTTGTGGCTGTTTGAACAAAGCCAACTTTTCCTTCTGTGTATGGGTAGAACCTAATCTGCACTGGTTTGATTCAGCTTCCTAATCCGGCAAAAATTAAACTGGATTTGGCTTGGGATATAAATGCAACATTATTCATTCTATAAATGCATAGCAGTTTAATCTAACGTTGTTACCAGAGTGTCTAGAGCTCCCATGGTAAAACCAGCATGCAGATGTATTAACAGTAGTTAATTTCCAAAAATATGCTTAAAAGGGGTGGTTGAGACAATGGTATGATTTCTGAAAAGTTTTTCCTTTAAGGATCTGAAAATTATGGCACATTTACAGTAAAAATAAGTCATGATTATCTGTGTTAAACAGGCAAAAACAACTGGTACATTTTAGTATTAGGATGACTATCATTTGGAATTGCACAGTGCTCCAGATATAAACGTTTTGCCTGCAGATGTTTTCATAAACACCTCCATTCTGGTTAATGTCTTACTGAAGTAACAAAATACTAGATCCCCTGGATGTTTATTCAACAGCTCTGGCCATATTATTGCTTTATGTTACAAATGTGCTCTAATACAACACAACCTCTCGGTTTGTCAAACATATGCTATTCTTACTATTTTCATGCTCATAGGAAGCTGCAGTAGCATTTCTAATTACATATTTCTTTTGAAGTCTTATAGCCAAAGCAACAAATGCATCCAGAACTCCAGATGTTTCAATTTCAGTTTGGTACATGAGGGATATAATCGTATATCTGGCAACCTGCAAGCATTGCAAGGCCAGTTTTCAGTTTTGTGTTTTCTTTCTGTAACTGAAATGTGCAATTACATTTGGCAATAAGCACGAATGTTGCAAAATATTAAACCATATAAAGACTATGGTGTCTTTAATTTAGAACAGATTTCTAAAAGCAAAGCTCTCATCACTGTTTGATCCTTTCTCAATGGGTTATTCCCCTGCAGCATAAGAAAAAAGTATTTCCCATCTTTGGATGCAAGCAGATAAACCAGTTGAGTGATTACTCAGAATGTAAAACAAAACAAAACAAAAGAAAGACCAAACACAAAAAAAACCCACCAAAACTAACAAACCACAACTTAAATTATGCTTTTTTAAATCTAGATTAAAAATGTCCCACTTTAGTTCCACTAACAGTTCAATCCAGGAGATTCTACCGTGAAAAGACCAATTATTTCACGTCTTTAATAAGCATAAAAATGGAATTGTCCTACAAGGAGTGTGATGAGGACGCAGCTAAAAATACCAGCACTGAAAGTGTTGTGGGTTATATCCTTGTCCTGTCATAGCTAAGGAGGAAATTCCCTCTGAACTCACTTGGGTCAGTAATTTACCCTTTGAGCTTTGCATTCCAATTAACCATATCATCAGAATTCTTCCTTCTTCAGCCTTTCTTTGTCGCTCTCAATCTCTCCTCTTCCCAAATTTTTGCTCATCTGCTAGAAGTTTTGTCCTCTTTTTCTGGGACTCATTCTACGTACTTTAGTTTTCTTTATTTCTAAATTATGTTGTCTGCACTTGTGTAGTGGTGGATCACAGGAGGGAAGGAAGCAGCGAGAAACGTGCACTTGGAGTCTGGAGTGGTGTTTTGAACACATGTCAGCAGGGTGACAGTCACATGGCACACACTTTACTGTCAGCTGCAGGTGATGGATCCTAAAGGCAGGATATAAATCCCTGCTGCCTGGGATAACAGTATGGGTGTCTCACAGCCCTCACCCGGGACAGAGATTCAGAGTGGAAAACATCTATTGATTTATACCACACACAAGAGGTGATTCTTCCCATATTATCCTTGTGCCTATGGAAAGTGCCGTTACAAAACACAGATTGCATCCTGAAGTGACTACTGCAAGCTTGAATTCTCTGTATTTCTGTAAAAGAAATAGTTTGATTACTCCCCAAATGAAAATGTTGCAGAAGTCCTCTTTTTCTTCTGTCTCTCCTAGGGTTTCTGGAGGAGAGCTCTTTGAACGCATCATTGATGAAGACTTCGAGCTGACAGAGAGAGAGTGCATTAAATATATGAAGCAGATTTCAGAAGGAGTTCAGTACATTCATAAGCAGGGTATTGTTCACTTGGATTTGAAGCCAGAAAATATTATGTGTGTCAACAAGACTGGTACAAGCATCAAACTCATTGACTTTGGACTTGCAAGAAGATTAGGTAATGACTTCTCTGCCTATTTCAATATGACCGGGGGAAAGGGGCAGGACAAACAGTAATTCGTGCTACCTAATATAGTCTTTCATATATAAAGAGTAAATAATGTTTCCTATAAATAGTTCTGGGTTTAGGAAAAAATAAAAAAGGGAAAAAGAAGGTATTCAAGAGGAGTGTGCAGTGAACTGTATACAAACTACATGTCTATTCCTATAGGTAGGGTATCCCTGTAGATTACAGGTAAAATACACAGTAGTGGTGATGTTAACAAATACTTACATTTGCTATAGGAAACTATAAATCACTAACTTTCTAACTAAATACTTCATGAATACTACAAAACCTTGAACTTTTTGTAATCACAGGAATTAAGGTGATTTTCTAGAGGTCTTTCAGATCTAGATAATTATAGTTGATTTACCCATTAGTTTTATCACTTCTTAACTTAAACAGCAGGATATTTTCATACATGTTAAACATCAGAGGAATTCTATATGGAGCTGTGTCATAGTACTACTTAAAAATAATACAAAGGGGGAAGTACCACTTGACAAGTTCCTCCTCTTCCTAAGCTGTTTTTAGCAGCTTTCTATCATTCATTTTGGTCTAAGATTCCAACATGCTTTGCAACTTGAAAGCCAAAGACCTTCAATGGTTCTTGTCTTCACATTGTTCAGTATTAGTTCAGCTCTAAAAAGCAGCCCTCCAGTTGTGCTTCCAGTGTTAGTGATCAGCACACACTGATCTTTTTTAATCTTGTATTTTCACAAAAGAAAAAACTATTCCAAGAATTAAAAGGAACAAAAATAATTTATGAACCTGTTACTGGGAGAGCTGAGATTTGTGGCTCTACTGACAATAATTGATTGGGACAACTCATATGAATTCTTGCTCTCTATATAAGGGGTCCCCAGCTAGTTTCCTACTTGCAATCTTTTGTCTTCCTTTTTTAACAAAATTATTTTTAATACTTATTAAAAATAGAACAATGTTTTTTGGAAGAGTACAGTTTGGAATTACTACCACCTGGTTTTTGTTATCTGCCTAAATGCTGCTCATCCTAGTTCTTTTGACACTTAAGTAACAGACTACTGCATTCCCAAGAATATAATTTTACTAAAACAAACAAAAAATACTTTTTTAAATGAATGGGGGAAAACAAATCCACTCTTCAGAATTTTACATGATGTTCAGCTCCAAAAGTGTATTACATGAATCTTGGTCACACAGACACTGTTAACTCAGAGATAAGATGTTTATTTTATTTATTAAAAAAAGAAATCACTGCCATTTATGTTCGTTCACTAGAATGGAGCCAACAGTGTTCTAGGAACATGAACTGGATTTTGTTCTTGTTGAGGAAACAGATAAACTGTTAACTGAGTTCCAGTGCTGATGTTTTGGTTATCAGAGGTGTGTGAAAGATTTCAGCCCATGATGTTCCAGCTGTCAGCCTGAAAACTATACATTTATTGCTGCAGGGAGTGGATTTCATCAACAAGAGATACAATGTAAACACAGAATGGCCTTTTTATAGAAACTTCTTCAACTACTTTTAACTTCAGGCCACAGTTAAACTGACATTTAGCAAACAGAAGATCCTATTTTCAGTAGCCTGTTCATATCCATCAGCTTTTCCATTTTTCCTGGTAATCTTGTGGCATCACAGTGCTTTGCCCGGCTGACACCAGCTTGTGAGCTGCTGCAGTCGTACCGTGTGTAGCAAATCTCTAAACTCCAGATAACTTTCTGTGATGTAGAAGGATGAGAGCTATGGGCACTGATGCTGACTTTGATTTTACAGTGCTGTATTGCTTAGTATGTTGCTAATTCTTGCCAAAGGCCACTATAGGTATTTGCTATTCATCAGCTGCTGTTCTGGATAACTCTGCTGTGTGTGGCATTTCCCTAGGAAGAGAAAGTGCCCTTCCATTTCATGCCCATAAAGCAAAAGCACTCTGTTCATTGGGAAGACAATTTTAACAGTTTGGTTGTCTATTGTTTTGAGATGATTTCCAAAAGCAGAAAACAACTTTTGCTGTTTCATTTACTTGCAAAAATTGCTAAAAATGCTTTTCACTAATGCCTGCTTCTTGTCAATTGTCTTACGTGGTGCACTGAGGGCACTTGTGCTCCTTCAAACTTTGTGATTTTGAAATTGGTTGTCAAAGTCACTTTGGCATTGATAGATGTGGGACTGGAGCCCTCATACTATGGACCTGACTCTGACTGAGCAGAAACTGCTCAACCAAGGGATTGCTGAAGGGAGCAGTGGCTGACTCTGCACTTCAGGTTCTGAGATTTACTTTTAACTTTTTGTAACCAGTGCAAACTAATGCCTCTAAATATTCACTGTTTTGATCAGTTTTAAAGATATTAAGATCAGTTCCTTCTGCAGTCATCTTCTGCAGCTAATTAGTTCTCCTGCACTGTCAGGAAATACCAAAGCTGCAGTGGGATATTTTCCTGACCTTTTTTGGTGTGCTGAGGAAGACATGTAGAAAATTGTTTAGGATAAACCTCTTGAGGAGAAAGGCGAATGATTTTTGAGTACTGTAAAGATTTTTTTTTTTAATCAGTTGATTATACACAGTGTCAGCAACAGTTTCCAATTAGCTTGTCAGCTTTCTATCTGAATTAAGGGATCTCCAAACATAGATCCTACTTGTGTACTAAGCTTGTAAACAACTGGGTAAAGATTTGACATATTATTGCATAGAAAAGATCTTATTCTTTTCTTTTTTCTTTTATACACAGAAAATGCTGTATCGGTTGTTTCTCACTTTATGCTTGCACTCAAATGTCATGTTTTCAAAAAAAACCCCCACATTTCTCTGATGTATGGACAGTGCATTTCATACACCAGACTTTTGCATACACAGCGGCTCATGGTAGTTTACACAGTGCGTAGAAAAGCCTCCAAACTTGGATGTGAAAATCTGAGCCTGAGATTTGGACAACCGTGATTAGGCTTTTGGAAAACAGGTTCATTGTCATAAATTTCAGTAACTTTTCATGAAGACAGTTCGAAAAAAAAATGTAGGAGTTGACTTTAAAAAGAAGTCAAATGGAAAAATGGGATCTTGGGCTTCTCATTTGCACTTGAAAAAGGAAGAGTGATCCCTCCGTCCTCACGGCCACTGTGAAGAAGACATTGCCCTTCTTTTGGGCTAAGTCACTTCAGATTGGATACTAGAAAAAGGATCTTACTTTTTGGGATGAACTCTGGTTATGTGACTGTAGGGATGTTGTGGAACAGTTTTTGAATGTGCTTTTTAAAGGCTAGTCAGAGATCTGGCAGGAGGGTCTTGATGTTGGTGAACTTGCATGGGAGGATATGGGTGACTTCCTGCAGCTGCTCCCAGGCATTCTTCTGTCTGTGTGTCTCTGGAAATGGGTACTCCTTGCATGGAGGGGTCTCTGAAAACAGGGAAAACATGTGACAATAAGGCTTCTGCAATTAGTTTACTATAACCATACTTAAGCAGAGCAAAAAGGGTTTCACGGAATTTAAAATGGGAAACAGGCGTAACCGTGAGTGAATTGCTGCACTAGTGCTTAAAAGTTGCCTTAAGCACAGTGTTAAATCTTTAGGCAAGTTATTAACCCCATATATCCTTCAGATTTCATTTGGTAAATTGGGGATTTCCACACCTCAAAAGACCACTACCTTAGGTGTTTGATTACATTTCATGAAATGCCTTAAGAGCTTTCAATGGAGGTGAGTGTGGGAGTGGAGTCAGTGCTGAGATCAGCGTTTCTGTCGCAAAACCTGGTAAAGTAGGTTCTGGTAAATAAAAATATTCTATTAAGGTTCAGTGTTGTGGACAATTCACTTCTATTGTAGTCTTCTCAAAACTTTTGATTTGCTGTTGTTTGGG